TTTTGATCTTCGACAACCTACCCCCTTTGCACCGCTGGAACCCTTCTCACGAAAACTACTCAAACTCTATTACCGAATGAACTAGAGCTAAAAGTTCGAATTCCAACTGATCCCTTTTCTCCCAAATACCTGCTTCGAGATACTTCATGCCTTCATGAAGAACTCCATGCCATTTTCGACTAGGTAGCATTGAACGTATCTTCTCGTCATGGCTGTTGTTCAAATTGAACAATATTTTAAATTATCGTAGGTTTTGCTGCCAGAACTGCGTTTGTACTCTGGGACTGACTAATCTGTTCAATAAATTTTGTTGTAATAATTGAAGAGAACTTCATGAACACTTGGTAGCGATTCAGAAAAATGTTAGTCATAGAAGAGTAAGAAAAACGTCCATATTGCGAAGAACTGCATGAAGAAACGTCTATCACTTCGTCGTGATCACTGCCCAGATTTAGTTTAAAAAACAGAGTTATAGGGACTCAATTGGATATTTACGGTCTCTTTCAATTTCTTTCAACTTATACGGACGACTACATACAGTATGAATGCGACAAATTTAGCCATTCATACACGAAAGTATGTGACACTTTATGGAAATTCAAAATGCGAACCTATGACTTACTTTTCCTGCATTACAGAAGTAAATATTGTAGACGAAAATTTGAATCCCTTATGTAAGTGGTGGTAAAATATCTCTCATAGAATGTGAATTATTTGTTAAAGTTCCCTTCAACAGAAATGTTGGATCAGTCCCGCATTGAACGACGTTCTCTACCCAGTGCTGATGTTATCGCTCTTGTTATGAGAATTCAGTTCCTATGACATTAGGCGAACACCATCTTGAAAGTGCAACATGGAGCATAACATTGGGTACGTTCAGGAAACCTGACTATACTGGATACATTCCATAGAGTAGGAAAAGATGGTGAACCTTCAATTGGTGCCTCCTAACAATTAGCAAGAGCAGCAGATAGTCCTAGTGGGGTCTAAAATTGTGTTACAGATGTTTACCACACATTTCAAGGCGTGGATGGTGTAACGGCAAGTGACGCAACATCACACACGCGATCCGGAGATCGTATATTGGACTAATGCTTGTCCAGGCCAACCGAGCCTTCCATCCCTTTGGGATAAGTTAATTAGTACCAGACTGGTCTGGGAGGATGAAAGCACTATACTGTACATTAGCTGGTCATCGCCGGTCGCCGGTTGTATAGGCCACATGTGCATTCAAAACGTCATCAAGATTATGAATGGTAGCCGAATGCGGGGCGTACTCTGAAAACGGGATTGGGCGGCGACAAAAACTTTAGTCTTTAGTTCTCATTTTATTTGAGTCGCTACCATGGTTTACTGACATTATCAGCGTCATTCAGCGGCCAAATTCATCGCTACAGTAGACTAGTATCCATACTCAAACAGCTGCCGGTTTTTGCTATGTATGTAGCTGTAGCTCAAAAATATTTCAAGTAAGCAGTGATACTGTAACTTCGTTCCCAGAACCCTTTCGTCAATGTAAAACGAGATTTCACGATCACGGTCCCAAGCACATACTACGGTATGCGCCTCAATCTCAATTGTTCACTGTCGGCGTACCTTTTCCGTTTTAGAGGTCCAAATCTCTGATCGGGTACCCCTTTTAAGATAGGTTTCACTGAGACATAGTTGATTTTCCCATCCACGTTTATATGGTTGTCACACCTACGCTCTGTTAGTGTTCGTATGCATGTTGACGACGTCCTTGACGAGAGATAGCCCTAGCCCGTCGGTCCGCTTCAACCCGACAACCTGTGGGTTGAGGTAGCCGATCGCGCACCATCTGCAGCAGCAGCAGCTCCACCACTACACGCGCACCCTTGTGGGCGAAGGGGGCGGTGAGGGCGTGGCCCAGGTCGTTGGTCTCACAGTCACAACGCGCCCACACTTTCGCATGCGTGCTCCAATCCTTCTGTTCCTTATAGGGCAGGTAAGTTAATATTGCTGTCAGCAGGCTATTCTGTTGACCTTTTTAATTTCTTTTTATTCTGAACATTACTATCGATTGACCTTTGTTTTCTGGTTCATTTTTCTCCTTCGCCATTATATTGGCTGTTTCTCATTCCTTCCCCGACTCTGCCGGAACCTGACCAGCCTGTTACCATACGTCCGTCGACCTAATCAGTGGAAGTAAAGCGGATTTGTAAATTAGACCTTCTGAATCGCTTCGGCGAAGAAGTGCCGAATTCTAAGAAGTCCGCTAAGGAAACTAGTAAAGACCTTGGCCAAAGGTCATACCGAGCCAAGATGAGCCAACTCCCACATCCGGCTCAATCCGACTGTGTTCCATTCTTCTGATTCTTCATTACCAGCCTTTGTTAATGATCGATTTCTGAGTTTTAGAGTTTTTTCTGAGTTTAGCGAATGTCAGTTTTTCGTTACGATTAATTGTATAGACCTTGGCAACAGTCTCTTGATGAATTGATTCCATTGGTATGCATCGAACGGAACAAAAACNTTTCTCTTAATCGATCGCCCATCACAGCTACTTACTGTTTGTCACACTGCTGCTGTCACAGTACGGTTTTCCCTTTTGTTTGTTCAATATCTGGTTTTCCATTTATCTAATGTGGATTACAGAGAGGCAACAAATACCACAGAGAACTTTTCGTTTAATCCTCCTCTACTGAACGGCTTACATGAGTAAAGCTGTGGGAAAGGAAAGTAGAGAAAAGACTTTACTCTAGGGATTCTTCTAGGCTGTCGGAAATCTAAAATTTTCCACGGTGTTATCTCGATGGTAGGGAACGCGCCCAGTAGCTCACCCTCTTTTCTCAAACCAGAGCTGGGATGGGGATAAGCGGTTACCTACAGTGAAGTGGTTCTTCTAAGTCGCAAACCGAGCATTTCATAGATTCATCATCACCATGGATGAGATCGCTGCGGCAGGTTGAGCATATCTTTGCCACCTAACCGAATACCTTTGAGAATTAGCCATGAGATAGTCGCTGAGCTGACAATTTGATGGGATTTTTCAGAAGTGACTGGTGGTCTGCTCACTTCTGTGTCCTTTCATAGACGGCTGGCCTATTGATGGGATGGAAAGGATGTGGGATTGACCTCAGAATCCCGAACATAGCATACTTCGGGTTGTGCTTTTCACGAGAGCCTTCGGTACTGATTCCCATGATACAGACTACCGGCAAAGAGCAGTATGAGGGACGGAATTTCGGGAACAGATAGGATCGGCCGGGCTTTTCATACACTGTTACTTGCTATCGGGTTATTCCAGTAACTTAACACTTACTGCACTCATCGACTTAGTCCATCAAAATTTTCCTGGCCCAAATATACAATCAGACGCTTTCGAAAAGAAGTCTGAACTCGTTCCGGAGATGGAACTTAAATACTCCATTCTCTCCGAAATCATTTGGGGTCAAAAGGCTTCTTCTAGGATTCTTTGCAAATGCCCTACTTAATAGTTTCACCTGATTCAGACATCATTTCTTCTTTCTGCACGATTCTTATCTCGCCGTCAATTAAGATTTTCACTTGAAAAGCCAACTGGATCGCTGGAGATTGCACTGTAGATCCAAACTTTTACAAACTGTCTGGAAACACAAACCCCACTCAAAACGTAGATGAGAAGCTCTTATCATATTTTACCATATTTTAGCTTACAATATATCATTTATCGCAATTCATTTTCTTCTTCGATTAGGTTATTTATAAAAAGGAAAGATTTCTCCTACCAAAAAAGTACATAATTTCTATGATTTATCGTATATGGGAAGCAATTTTGAGGGATTCAGTTTGAATCAAACTTGCTTGCCATCAAAACGGAGAGCACCGAATCAATGTTTGCTATCAATCATTCTTAATAGTATTACCTAGAGCACAGGGAGTCTGTTGGCGATATTTGCTAATCTGTCATTTGTCGAATTCCCCTGCATGTCTACGTCCTTATTATCATCATCCGAAATCAACAAAATCTCTATGAAACATCATCGCAACAAGGTCGATAACCGATTAGCATCTTGATTGGAAAAGAAAATACCAGAAAACACATAGCACTGGGAAACGTGGCCCGAACATTATACTCTCTTTTTCTGACCTCAAAACATAGATTAATAATGGGGTATACTCAGCGATACTCAGCGATACCGATGGCGGACGACCTCGAAGAGCTCGAGTTTATAGAAAAAGAATTCGGTAGTAACTACTTCGAGTTTTCAAATCGGGTCACAATATTCCGAGTGAGGGTTGTTCAGTTGGAAAAAGGGAAGGAATTCGTAAAGGAGCTGATCGGGGATTCAGGATAGGTTGGTAGTGCAGCTGTTTGGTAGGTATCTTGGGCATGTCAATGGTTCATCATCGCAACTTCATTTGTTTAGCAGAAACAACTGGCTACGGGCTTCATGAGTGATCCTATCACCAAATCGAAATAGTAAGTCTCCTTTGCCATCCAAGTTCCTTTTTCAGAATTCACAAAGGTATTTTTTTAAAAGGGACTGAACTGAGGCACCTCCAAGTGAGGTGCTACTCCTATGGTCGGAAGAGAAAATTTTGTGTCATGCACGTCGAAATCAACCGAACGATCCTGCTGGTGTCAGATCCACTAGGGAGGCGAAAACCCTAAAGTATGTATCGGATGGGTCCCTCAACTTATGGTTAGATACCAAATTCTTATTGAAAATCTCATGCGATTGTGGAAAAAGCGGTTGCGTCGGTGTATCCCGAAAATACGGATGATCACTGCCAAAAACTATATTTTTTATCCTATCAATCAATTTCGTGATTGATCAATTATAAGAAATCATAGTAACTATCCAAAATTACGGTGCGAATTGCCTAATGCACATACAACTGAAGAGATAAGATCCGATTCTTCCAATACAAGTTGTAAAGGTTTTCCTCAGTTTTCTCTGACGTATGTAACTTTTAATGATTTGGATTTTTGTAATCCTCCTCCCCCCCCCCTCTCCAGTAAGGGTGTGGTACGGGTCCAGTATTCCATGCATTGTGTGTTG